ATGAAAATGTGCACATTGGAAAGAATAATAAAACTGTAGTGAATCACTCTTAAAAATGTCGCCATTATAGTAACAAAAGAATGGGTTAGAACAACAGCGAAAGATAACCATCCTTCGTGGCCAAAACTGTCATGAGATAATAGCAACAAAAGGTTGTTCTTTTTTTTCCACACTTCTTCAATTATTTTTTTCTTTATTAAAATCCAACTATGGACAAGTAAAAATAGTTTCGTAATTGATTTATTAATCTTCTATAAATTTAGTTACCTTAAAAATCTTCTATAAATTTAGAACACATATTAAACATAAGAATAATTTGTTTAATCACCATAATTAAGTTTTGGTGTTTAGATTTTGGGCTAGGAGTGTATTTGATTAATTACCATAATTAAATGCTATAATTAGTGTTAATTTAGGATAAGATATACGTATTCATTTAACAAGAATAGGAAATCTTTGAAGAAAGTAATTTGATAGCCAATTTTGTGTCGAGATTCGTTGGTCTCATGAAAAAGAAAATGTAATGTACTTACTTTTATGATAATTTTTTTATACACGAATTGTACTCGATGTATGCCATGTAACTTAATTTCAAATTTGAAATTGAATTTTTACACATGTGGCGTTCATCTACAACTTTTAATGTAAAAAAAATTTACATTGATAGTGTATAAAAACTTAATCCTTACTTTTATACCTAGGTTTAGTCAGGAAAACAAACTACGTCTAACTTCATTGAGTAATAGAAGATACAATAAATATAATGATTATATGCTGTCACATGCATTTATAATTACCTTATAACTAACTAAATTATTGGAGAATTTACTTCAGAAAATGGTAATAAAATATTCAAATATCATTCTTTGCCTAATTGGTTAAATTTCCATGAGGAAATAATCGGTAGAAGATTACATGTTATTGTGTAAATTATTAATGCAATATGAACATTAATTAGGGATTCACTGTACTCTACGAAGTAGGAATTATATCTAATAGAAACAAGGAATGTATTAACGGTGATAATTGGTGACCAATGGACACTTGTTAAAATGGATACAATTATCATAATTGATGAATTTTAACATTTAAAAGGTGATGTCTATAGTTTTGGAAAACTTCTAGTAAGGAAAGAATTTTACAAGTGGCAAAAAATGACCATTTCAAATAAACCAACAAAGGTAGGGTGAAAAGTTTGAGTGTTCGTGCTTCAATTTCATCTCTCTCTATTCTTTTCCTTTTTGCTTAGTTATCTTTTTTTCTTGCAACATAAATTTAAAAATCTAATAATTCATTTTCATAAAATTAAGAACAAAAGTGAGCCCAACTTTGAGCATTTTTTTTAAGAGCTAAATCGTGCATAATACTGTAAAGGTTGCCAAAATAACTTATTTTTATAATTTATTTCTTTTAAACTACAAAGAGATAGTAAGTTCCCAAATTCTAAACCAAATCAAATGAAGACTTTTATGGCTAAAAAGAAAAGGAAAAAATTATGAACTTGGAACTTTTTATCCTCCATAAAATGACAAATTCAAAGGAAAAATATAATTTATTTTGGAAGAAGACATAGAATAATAAAATTTTCAAGACTTGTAAAAAAAAAGAAAATACAAATAAATAAATTAAAAAATTGACAAAACAGGCAAGTACCCTTTTGTTGAATTTTAACAAATTCTCTTAATTAAACAATTGTATGTGGTTGGTTTACTAGGTTTTATTTTTCTTTTATTTGATAAATAAACTTAACACACTTCTTGTGGTTTTTGACAATGGCAATCAAAACTAAATTAATGATTTTAATGTGAAACTACAATGAAAACTAAAATTGTTTGAACTTCCAATACAAGGATATTTTCAATTGAAAGAATAATTTATTTTTTGAATTTTACATTTGTTTGGTCTGTAGTATATTTCGTCTAGCCATTGAAGATTTTAAATATGTTTAATTTTTCATAGTTCTAAATTGCATTCCTTAGTGCCAACGAAAGATTTGTCATGTTTATTTTTAGGGAAAAGGTTAGGTATGTCATTTAACATGTGAATTCATTCAAAATAACTTTCTAAAATATGAAATAATTAATGCATTAATTAAACAGATTATTTCTTATTCATATTAACAAGTGCCCACTAGGCACCCATTACAAAATCTGATGTATTACTTAGCTTAGCTTTATGAGAAAATGCTACGTAATTAACTTATATTTTATCATTAATTTGTGGCTACGTCCACGTTCATCGTGCAAAAGAAGATACAGTAAATATAATGATTATATGCTATTTCAATTTATAATTAACTTATAGCTAACTAGATTATGAAGAATTTCCTTCAGAAAATGGTAGTAATATATTTAAATATCATTCACTGCCTAATAGGTTAAATTTCCATAAGGAAATAATAGGTAGAAGATTACACGTTATTCTATAAATTATTAATGCAGTATGAACATTAATTAGGGATTCACTGTATTCTACCAAGTAGGAATTATATCTATTTCAAACTAGGAATTAAATGTATTAATTAGCTTAGCTTTATGAGAAAATGTTGTAATAATTATCTTATATTTTATCATTAGTTTGTGACTTATTTTAATCTAGACAAATTTGTAAGCCTTATGGTAAACTTATAAGTGTATAAATGTAGGCTTTTTTGCCTCATAAGTTCAGCAAACCAATTTCTGTAAAGTTTGCAAAAGTCAATGGTCGAATGGAGATGTCAAAACCTAATAGCATCTCTTTAATTCTATCGGTTTGGCTTTTGTTCCTCAATTTCTCCTTTCTGATTGTAAAACCATCACCAGCCGATCCAAGTGATTATGCAGTGCTATTGAAAAAGACACCTCCTACAGAAGAAGGTTTGAGGGAATTAGCTATTAAAATTCTAACCAATGTCCTTGGCAGGTACTTTCATTTCCTATTGTCTTATTTCTGTTAGCCACTTTAATTAAAAAAAATGAGAAAGATAGACAGTGCAGTAGTGTTGCTTTCACTAAAACATATCAAAACTTAAGGTTATTGGATAATTTGAATATAATGGTCGCATTCATTACTTATAAATTTTATGAATAGAAAACATAATTATTATTTACTATGCGGTACTTCTTTTCAATTTTTTTATTAGTGTAAGTGGAAAGTTTTGAATTCGGGACCTTTTATTTACACTCTCTTTCTCCGTATCATCCAACCCATCCCTCCTCACTTTACTGTGTGGTACTTATTATGAAGAACAGTGTAGAAAATTGTGCCATAGTGATTTCTATTATTATATTTGGTAGACAAATTCTTTTGGAATAATTTAAAGAAATAACAAATGTGTGGCAGGAAAATGATAGAATTTTCCGAACATCTAGTATCAAAATATAAATACGTTTAAAATGAAGAATAATTGATTGATGCACTTTTCATGATGATTTTATAGCCAGACAGCTGTAGCGAGAGCTCTAATTCGTCTTCATGCGGCTGATCCTGGTGGCTTCGTGGCTAGGCTAACTCTAGAGCAGGCTTCCCAAATCAAAAGTAGGTGTCCTTTTTTTCACTTTTTCTTCCAAATGTCATTTTAATTTTCGTTATTTCTTCCTCTTTTCTCTTTTATCTTTGAACTTCTTATTCAAATAGTTCCTAAAAATGTAATTATCACCTAGTTTAGTCAAGCATTAGGTATTAGATTATATTGTATGTCATTAGAATTATTCTTTTGGCACAAAATTTGCTTTTTGTGGGTTAAGATCAATCCTTATCCTATACTCTTAAGGCCGGCCACAGCATAGATGAACATATTTTGCAAAATAATTTGCACATATGTCTATTTCACAAAATAGTTTGCCCATATGCCATAGAATATTATAAAGTTTTAATATGTGGCAAATTCAATGTACTCGTAACTAGATTGATTTTTGTAAAACTACTTGTGAAATTTTGCAGATCAACCTAATGTGAAAGAGGTCATACCAATTAATGCCTATCCACCTTTCCAGAAGACGGACGGGGCTTCCAAATGAAGTTTCACGACTGGAAGAATGAACTAAAGGGTCACATGATATATCTTTATTTGCTTTCATGGATCCTTGGATATGCTTTAAGCTAAGATATCTGTTAATAAACTAAGTTGTGAATAATTGCTTATTTCTGAAGTAGAAAAGGGAGGAAACTTGCTGATGCTCAAGGCAGTGGATGTAGGGAGTGCAGTGGAGGGAGGGAGTGGCAAGGATACGATGTGGATTGATGGTGAGAACAACCACTATTTGCACAGGGGTAGAAGTATGATGGAAGGGGAAAAGGGAGGGAGGGAAGATCAGCAGGAAGGCTAGGGTAATAAAACCAGCACGGGGAAGTATAGGGTCAGTAAGACATGGAAGAGACTGGTGCAGGAGGTGGGTAAGAGGAAGCCTCTGCCTGAGATTGAAACTATACAGAATGGCACGAAAATAGGGAAGAGAAGAAAGGGAGTAGGTGGGAGTGAGCTAGAAAGGAACCTGAGGGAGGCTGAGTGTAAGAAGAAAGCCAAGCTGATTGAAGGGGTTAAGGATGTGTTGATGCTGTCTGAGGTGGTGGAGCCCTCCCTTAATGGGGCTCCCATCCCTCAATGAGAGCTCTAGTGTGGAACTGTCGAGGTGTAGGGAGCCCCTTGATAGTTCCCCAACTTAAGGAACTTGTACAAGTCCACTCTCCATCTCTAATATTCTTATCAGAGACAAAAACGAAAAAGACCTTCATAAATAGTGTTAAGCAATGGGTAAAGTTTGATGATCTGTTTGTAGTAGACCCTGTGGGGATTGCAGGAGGTTTAGCTATGCTCTGGAAGAAGGATATACAGGTGAAAAGCATCTTATTTACTAGTTTTACTATAGAGTTACTTATAGGGGATCAGGGAGGTAGTAGAGATTGGTGGTGTGTGTGTGCCTATGCCGGTTCAGATGATAACATTAGGGAGCAGCAATGAAGGGTGTTAGAGAGGAGAACACGGATTTGGGGTGATTGTTGGGCTTTAATGGGAGATTTGAATGAATATCACTTCTAATGGGGAGAAGTGGGGGGGTAGAATCAGGCCTGCTAGCAGTTTTGAAAGTTTCACTGGCTTCATTAATAGGACTGGCCTGATAGTTATTGGCTTTGAGGGAGTGCCTTGGACCTGGTGTAATAACTGGGACACTGAAGGAGTGATTAAGGAAAGGATTGATAGAGTGATGGGTACTAAGCAGTGGTGTGGAAATTTTGGAAAGGCTAAAGTTACTCATGCTGAAACAGAAGCTTCTGATCACTATGCCTTGGTACTAGATCTGACCCCTGTAGAAATACCAAGGAAGAGGAGATTTGCTTTTGATAAGAGATGGATTATGCAGGAGGGGGTTTGGGGAGGTGATCAAGGAGGCATGGGGGAAGGAGCAACAGGGGTCAAGGTTGTATAGAGTGCAGAGTAAAGTTAAACAAGTTCGTATGAATCTGCTGCATTGGAGCAAAAAATTGAATCTGAACTCAAAAAAGCAGATAGAACAGATTAAAAAGGAAATTAAAGAGGTGAGGGAGAGTCAGGGCAGAAAGGATAGAACAAAAATTATAGGACTGAAGAGGAAGTTGGCGGAGGCTTACAAGAGAGAAGAGGTATACTGGAGTCAGAAGGCAAGAATTAAATGGCTCCAGGAGGGAGACAACAACACTAGCTTCTTCCATGCTAGTGTAATGAGTAGGAGGAAGCAGAATAGGATTAATGGTCTGAAAATGAGAAGTGGGGAGTGGTGTAGGAATGAGGAGGAGGTCAGGGAGGAAATTGTGGACTATTTCCAGCAATTGTTCACGTCTGGTGATCCAACTAATTTCAGTGCTATTTTGGAGGAGATCCCACAGACTATAACTGCTGACATGAACAAAAAGTTGACAAGGCCAGTCTCTGATCAAGAAATCAGTTATGCAGTAAATTCATGCATCCAAACAAGTCTCCTGGACCAGATGGTATGTCCCCTATCTTTTTTCAAAAATTTTGGCATGTTGTCAAATGTGATGTTATTAGTGCAGTTCAAAGCTTTTTTCACTCTGGTCATATCCTAAAATCCATAAATGAGATCCTGATCAGCCTTATCCCTAAAACTGATTCACCAAATCTGATTACTGAGTTTAGACCTATCAGCTTGTGTAATGTCACTTACGAGATCATCTCAAAAGTTCTAGTCAATCGATTTAAAACTATGCTAGACTGTTGCATTAGTTCCTCTCAGTCTACTTTTGTGCCTGGTAGGCAGATTCTGGACAATGTCCTAGTGGCACATGAGAGTATTCATTTTCTTAATAATAAGAGAACTGGAAAGGATGGTTATATGGCTATTAAGCTTGATATGTCTAAGGCTTATGATAGTGTAGAATGGGTGTTTTTGGCAAAGATGATGCAAAAAATGGGGTTCTGTCCAACTTGGATTCAGTGGATTTTAGAGTGTATAACTAGTGTCACCTACTCTGTGAATGTTAGTGGGAAAAAAGGGGGGTTTATCAAGCCTTCTAGAGGCTTAAGGCAGGGGGATCCCCTATCCCCATACTTATTTCTGGTTTGTGCAGAAGGTTTCTCTGCCCTGCTCAGAAGAGCTAATAGACAAGGTAGTATGTCTGGAATGAAGATTGCTAATGAAGCTCCTTGTTTGTCTCATCTCTTCTTTGCAGAGGATTCACTAATTTTCTGCAGAGCCAAGGTTGGGGAGGCTGTGCAGCTTATGAAGGTGTTGGAAGAATATGGAAGAGCATCTGGCCAGTTGATCAACAAAGAAAAGTCCTCTATCTTTATCAGCAAAAATGTCAAAGGAAGGAGAAAGGAAGAGGTGCTTAAAGAGTTGGAAGGCATGAGAGAGGTTCATCAGAGCAAATATCTCGGGCTTCCTATGGTTATAGGAAGGTCAAAGAGACAGGTATTTGAGTTCATTAGACAGAAAGCAGTAAAAAGACTTGGGGGTTGGAAGGAAAAACTTCTGAGCCAAGCAGGAAAGGAGACTTTATTGAAGTCTGTCATTCTAGCTCTCCCTGCATACGTGATGTCTTGCTGTAGGCTGCCAAAGGCATTGTGTCAGAATGTATGTTCAGAAATGGCTAAATTCTAGTGGAGACAGAGGAAGGATGAAAAGAAAATTCACTGGATAAAATAGAGTAGAATGACAAATATCAAAGCTGAAGGGGGCCTGGGATTTAGGGATTTACAGGACTTTAACTTGGCATTATTGGGGAAACAATTATGGAGAATTTTGATGCAGCCTAATTTGCTGACGAGTAGAGTAATGAAAGCGAGGTACTTTGGTGGGAAATTCATATGGGATGTACAACCAAAAGGATCAGACTCATGGTGTTGGAAGAGTCTACTGAGTGCCAGAGAAGTGCTGGAGGAAGGACTAAGAAGGAGGGTGGGAGATGGTGAATCTATTAAAATCTGGGAAGACAGGTGGCTGCCAGGGATAGAGGATGGGAAGGTAAGATCTCAGAGGAAGGTTGATAGCAAGATTCAGAGGGTTAGTGAGCTGATCAAGGATGGTAAGTGGGATAGAGAATTGTTGATGCAGGAATTTGAGGAGAAGGACAGGCTGCAGATACTAAAGATACCACTGAGCTTGGAGAAGGTAATGGATAGGATCTATTGGGAAAAATCAAGTTCTGGTGTATATTCTGTCAAGACTGGCTATAAACTAATCAAGGAAATGAAGAGAAGACAGTGTCAACATGGAGGAACTTCAGAACCAAGTAATAGTAGGACGATCAAGGCTCAAAACTGGAGTTTTCTGTGGGGCTTGAGCATGCCAAATAAACTCAAACACCTCATCTGGAAATGTTTGCAAGGAATACTGCCAACTAACACAGTGGTGAAGGGAAAGTGTGGTAAGGGGAACCATGCGTGCAAGTGCTGTGGAGACAGCTCTGAGACATTAGAGCATATGTTTTTTCTGTGCTGTAATGCTAGAGCAATTTGGAAGGTGGCATCATTGAGGTGGGATGGATTGGAGGAGTTTAGGAATAATTTTTGGCATTGGTGGGAAGAACTTAGGGGGGCTATGGCTCGAGAGAGAGGAAGGGAACACATAACTCTCACGGTAAACATTTTTTGACAGATTTGGAAATCCAGGAATAATAAGCAGTTCAACAACAGGAGCAGTGAGCCTATGGTGGTGATTAACAAGGCACTAATGGAATGGAATGAGTTTCAACTAGCACAAGGGGGGAGCAAAACATGACAACCTGGCAGTTGGAGAGCAGGAGAAGGGCAGGAGATGGGATACACCGCAAGCTGGCTGGATCAAGCTCAACACTGATGCAGCTTTGGACCAAAAACTTAACAAGGCAGGATGGGGTATAGTGGCCAGGAACAGCTCAGGGGAACTGGTAGGTTCATGGGCGAGGCCAACTGAAGGCTGTGCTGAGGCACAGGTGGAGGAAGCTCTGGCAATAAGAGAAGCTATGGTACTAGCTAAACGAATGGGATGAAGAAAAATGAAGCTGGAATCGGACTGTAAGCTAGTAGTGGACAAAATCAATGCAAGGGAGGAGGAAGTCAACATAGCCATAATTCAGTTGGATATTTGGAGGCTGATGAAAGAATTTGATAAATGTTGTTTTTCCTATACTAGAAGAAGCAACAACTATGTAAGTCACTATTTAGCAAAGTTTGCTATAACATTGATTGATGTAGCTGAATGGAAGCTCAGTTTCCCAGCGTGGCTGCTTGGTTTAGCTCAGGCAGATTTACAGGAGCAGTTGCTCTGACTTTGTACCCGTTTGTGCTTAATACAATGTTATCGATTGGAAAAAAAAAGAATAATTGCTTATTTCTCAAATTATCTTGTCATTTAATATCATTTCTAATATTATAATTAGTTTCTTCTTATTTCAACCAAGGAAATGAAAGATTTTCATCTGGAAAGGTGTAATTCATCCAGCAAATGTGACTAATAAGGTTAAGGGATTGATTTTTATTTGGTCAATATTTCTCTCTCCATTTAAAAAATCCTACCACATAATTGGACTCCATACTTTAATCAAGTCCAGGGTTGGTCATTAAAACGAACTACTTAATTTTCTTGAGTTGAACATAATGAAAATGCCAGATTAGTGGGGAGAGAAATAAGTAAACAATCCAATTCTGCTAAGAAAGAGAAAGACTCATAAATGCTTGTTAACTAAGCAAAAAGAAAATATTACACTATAAAAGTATTGGTAAGTAAGGTTCAATTATCTAAACCCCGAAATTTGGGATACGCAATGACATTTTACTAGTCATGAACATTATCACTATGCACTTTGCCTTCTTATGCACAATCAAACATTAGAAACAATAAAACCATCAATCAAAATTAAAAAAGAGTTAATCTTATACACACTCACAGTGTATACAATATTATAATTAGATGTATGATGTATATGCAATATTTGAATTTCAAATTCAAATTTAGATTATGTGGTATACATTTTACACTGTCAGTGTATAAAAGATTAATTCATTAGAAAAAGTAAAAAAAAAAAAAAAAAAGCCTACTATGATGATATTAATGACCTCAATTATTGGTTCATGGACAATTTTATTCTTTGGCTATAAAATTGGGATGGACTCTAATGAAAATAACCTTTTACGCGAGGGAAATGCTTACACATTTACATGTGACATGAGATTTAAAGAGGAGCTAAATGTAAAGTGCACCTCAAATTACCTTTGGTTTGTAAATCATGCTTTAAACTATTAATTGCAATATTAGTATTTCCTTAGTCTATTAATTTTTACACATAAGTTATGAATTTAATGGTAATAATATATACGCGGTCTACTTTTCGTGTTCTTTTCCCTCTTTCTCAGTCTGCGTCCACTCTTTTTCCCTCTTTCTCAGTGCTATCTTGTTTGGAACCCAAATTTTTTGCCAAGTTTGTCTGCTACAAATTTTTTAAAAACTTTAGCTACAGTAATCTCAAAAAATTTCTTAAAGTTTTTAAATTATACACTTCAAAATATTCAAAAATTTACACATTTCAAAAATTTTTTTAAAAACTTCTACAGTAAGTTACAGTAAAGTTTTAGACAAACTCCCAAAAAACTCACCTTTCAAACAGGGGTATCCCACTGTCCACCAAACGCCTCTTTCACTAGTGCTTCTTCCATGTCTCCTACTCTAAGAGCAAATGAAAACCGTTTCGCCACAAAATGGCACAATGCGTTCTTTGTCATTAAGAATTTAAGCATTGCAAAATGGAAAATGCCAAACTAATTTCACTTGATCTGCCATTCAGTTCACTTGTTTTCATGATTATTCATTCAAAAAAAATGATTAGCCATTCAAATTATAAAGAATTTCCTAGTAAAATATATTGTATGGAAAAACTAAATGCAAACTCTAGTCAAATGGAGTTTTTTCTTCAAAACTTTGAACTTGAATTTGGTCTCCAGATAACTATTTCTTTTTTGAATATTTATGATCAGAATTTAGCTTTAGTTTGCAAACAGCAAAAGATGTAATCACAAATAAAGAAACAAAAACAAAAGTAACTCCAAATTTAATAGGCATGAAAAAATACTTGATAAAAATTTAACTAATGCATACACAAAATACCGAAGAGTTTGACTTTCATTAAGTACGAGAGTGTTTTCTAGACAAAAATGTACACTTGTATCTTTGTATCTTGGTCTTTGACAGTAAAAATCCAGTTATGGGGTGCAAACTACATTCTTCAAAGTTTAAGGCCGTAAAATGTAACTATTATCAAAATTCAGGGAGGTCAATGTGGAATTAACTCAATGGAGTCCATTTTTTCTTGGGTAAATTTTACTAACCTCCCCTCTAATTTTCTCAAAAACTAGAGACTTCCTCTCTTGATTTGGAATTAACATGACCCTTTTTTGTATAATCGATTTATTTTTTTTTCGTAACATGAACTTCCCTTATCAATTTACTTTTTTTTCATGTTCTTTGTTTTAAATAAAAAAAGAGTTGTTAAAATGAAAAGGTTGAATTTTCTGCTATGTTATTTATTCATGGTCAAATGGAAAAGAGAGATTTGTTCATGAAAATTGAAGACCTAATTTATTTATTTCTCTAAATTTTTTATTTTCACCAATCAAAATAAAGATATACACACATGTATCGATTCCTAAAATAAAACATATTAAAATGAAGATGAGGTATTTCCAATCCATGTACTCATCAAATCCTTTTAATTTGGTGAGATTTTAACTTACATACACATGAATATATGAGATAATAGAACGAAGACATCAACTCAATGCCAATTTCATACATAAAAAGAAAAAAAACCGAATGTAGATATTTTAAAAGCACAAGGACTAAGTCAGCAAATCTAACTATATAAAAGGAGGAGTTGCTTGAATGAACAGTAAAAGTGTATCCGTCGGTTATGTTGGTATTTATTGATATGTTTGGGCTATTGTGGTCCATTTGCATCAGTTCATTGGTGATTCCTCATGTGATTAGCATTAGCCTTAGTTAGTTCTTCATTTTTCGATTTTCGATAATGCCATTTGCTGTTTCTCCCCTACTCAGGACACCGGAAGATGCATGCTATAGTTGTGTGGTTCCTTTGTAATTTATTTGTTCTTTGTTCCTCTTTTGTTTGAGTCATTATCGCCCCTTGTGATCCGTAGAGATGGGCCACCTTAGCTATTTATGAGTATTAGTTTAGTCTTAGGTGTTGTCTTATTTTCCAATCATGCCATTTATTTTTCCCTTCATTTAACATGTATTTTATATTTGCTTGGTTGCTTTGTAATTTTGTTGTTTTTTTACCCTAATTTTTGTTGACTTATTGTTCTCTTTTGTGGACAACATAGATGGATCACTTTTTGTTTCTATGCTTCTTTCAAAGCAACCTTTTCTTCATTGGAAAATTCTCATTTTGAGTTTGTGTTTTTTTGTTTCCCATTGATACTGTTGCTTTTTTCTCTAGCATTAAATGTTGATTATCCTTTCAAACAACACCAGTTTTGTTTGGATTTTGACATACAAAAAGAAAAAAAATCACTCAAGTTTACTTTAATCATCTATTTTGTTCTGCCGGAACTCTAACCCGATGATGCTGCTATATTGCCAAACAAAAACAACATAATCACCTTTATTGCTAACATAGATGTTGGATAGGGCTGCAAACGAATCGATCTCGAGCTGGCTCGAGTTGAAATCGAGCTCGAATTCGATCTAAAGATATTAAGCTTGTGACAGCCCCACCTCACCCTAAGGCGAACCAAAAGGGTTCGGCGGACCGCCTGCCCAACTCTCGCCAGGACTACGGAGTCAATTCACACAAACCCAACATAGTACACGCGATAGGACCCAAAGAAAATGAACAATCAGAAACTACTAAGGTGAGAACATACCTACCAAACTATAAAATCATAGTCTCAACGAAATACATTTAATAGACAAGGTTAAACACTTATACATATATTTACATTGAAATCTTGAACAAATTAACATACAGTGCGATCCGAGGTACTCATACTACACAAAACACAATTAGGGCTTCATTTTCAAAAGAGTTTAACAACATGACATATATACTAGCTTGACCCTTTTCTTCCAAAACCGTGATTTTCAAGTTTGTCCCCTGTAAGGAAAACAAAGGCAACAGAAAGGGGTGAGTTTACGCTCAATGAGGTACCAAACATATAGGGGAAAAATCATGGCCTTTCACATTTAATCAATCATATACATATACCAGATATAAATGAAAGCATTTAAACACAGTGATTCAAAGGGAAAGGATACAAGTGGCTCTCAGGAGCCAGATTTTCATTTGCAGTACTTGACCCGAACCCGTTGACTCTCCGTCAACGTAAATAGAATCAACATATCCGTAGACCCCACTTTACACCAATTTTCGTCCACCAAACATACCCCTACCGGACTCGAACTCCATTCAAGAACAATAATGGTAATACTCGAGTATACCGGAATCAAGAGTCTCAATATCCAAAGATTCCCAAAACAGACTACCGTGGTTCGTTATCTAATCGATCAGACCCTTGCCGGCCCGACTTGAGTAACTAGCCACAGGTGTTGAGCTCAAAGGTCACAGAAAGGTCGTTGGATATCAGCCTCCAAACGACATCCGAACAGACTCAGATACAGTTAACAGAATATACACAGTAAATAGGCATATGGACAGACAAGAGAACGAGTGTGATAAAGTACACCCTCGTCTCAAACAGAATAAACAGATAGTGTAGTCATTTAAATCGCAGATTGCAGGGGCAAAAACCAAGTTAAACAGCAAATGAGGGGAGTGGTACACTTACCGGTTCAAGTACAGATACGTCAAAAGTTTTCACTTCAAACTAGCTTTAATCACCAAGAAACCCTAAAATCATCAAAGTAAACCAATTAAAGGTTTCATATCCAAAATCGAGTAAACGGAATGCACAAGTGAGACTCGACTACATGTCGTACGTCTTTCCAGGTTAAGTACTAGTACAAAAGAATAAAATATGACTTTTGAGTAAAAAGATAATAGTTGGTCCTAGGGTTACAAACAATCCCCAAAACCCTTCATTTGTACTAAGATCAACTCAATTGAAGGAATCGCGTAACCCTAAAATTTTGGGCAGCATGTCCTCTGTATTTACCTATTTACCCAACCACTTATGGCTTCATTATTTTCCTCAATCAATTCCAAAGTCATACGCAATATAAATTCATCACAACAGCCGTTCAATAGGCTCAAAGTCATTCAAGTACAAGATTTAGCTAGGAAAATGGCCGGAAATGAGCTTTAAGCTGGGAAACCAAAAAGACAGATTCACCGCTACTTAGCGTATCAGACCTAACTGAAACTACGTTTATTGGATTGAAGTGCAAGTTATACCGTTTCGAACCTAAGACAGAGGGCTATAACTTTGATGAAGACTACTTAGTCCAGTTCTCATCCTAACTAGGTCAAAGTTACCAAAACAACCCCATATTTTTCAGTTCGAAGCTCACTGTGAAATTCAACTAGCAGTCCTGATTCATTCAATCATATCTCAGCACACACAACTCCGATTCATGTAATTCCAAAGCCATTTGAAAGCTAAGATACAACTCTATAATTCTTAAGAAGACATTGACAACCAAATCAGTAGTATTCCCGGTCAAACTAACCAATTACAGAAACTGATTATCAGTTTCGGATAGAAACAGGGCAGCAGGGGTATTTCGGTCTTTTCACAGGCTACGTTGCTCCGATTGGGTTGAAATTTTGCAGGAAACTATAAAAAACCATTCTCTACAACTTTCATGTTTTGTACTAAACCTAATTCGGCCTCTAACATTATGAACTGGAACCGAGCAGAACTGAAGTTGGAATTTCCAGAAATCTGGAATTTGGGCTATTAGTGCATACCACTACTTTTCTTGCTTCATCCTTTCATTGTTTTCCTCTTAACCAACATGCCAAGTGTTAACTCTAACTAAAACCATGAATCAAAGCTGTAACAATTAATCATACACATGGTAGGCCACTTAACCAACCCAACTACCACTTCACTAATTCAAGAGATTTAGCCATAGGAAGCATCCATACAACTTCTAGTTTACCCTCAAACCTTTAAATACTTAATATAACACCATAAAAGCAAGGATTAATGATCACATACCTCTCTTACAAGTTGATTAAGTCACCCAAAATAACCACCAACCAAAAGCTTCAAGGCTTGAAGATCACACACTAGAGTTGGATGGATTTCACTCAGTGACTCACTCCTTCACTTTTAATTTTTTTTTCCTAAGATTAAACTAAGAGTAAAAAGCAAGAAAATGGAGTTTCTTCTTCTCCTTTGTTGCTCCAAGATGGGCGGCCAGCTTATGAAGGAAATGGAGCAAAAAAAATGGTTTTAATTCATCAAATTCTTTGGTCAAATAAGTTGCATGGTTGGTGTCTTGCCACTTGGCAGCATCTTGGTCATTCTCTCACTAATCTTTGCCAAATCATGTTCCTATCCTCCAATTCTTTCCCTTATCTTACTAACACCCCTTAAATCTCATGTAAAGTCCTAACCACATGAAAAAGAATATTTGGAGATAAAGTATATGGTGAAATAAAATAATACTAAGCCAATGAAATATTTTAATCGCGTATACTAGAGTTTTAACTTATAATCACTAACTTATTATTATCACTTCAAATCATATAATATTTCCTCATTCAAAAGTCACTTTTACTCACCAATTGAACATCATTAAGATCAAAGAAAAGGTGTCTTAGTCACTTACCTTGCAAACTCAAGAAAAGAACCAACTTAACACCTCTTGCTTCCAAATCATTTCACAACTAACCTCACTACTACTCAACTAAGGGTTTTTTATGGAGAATTTGGAAATTTAAACGGTTGATTTGCTAGATTGAGCAAGATTGGAGCAAGAAATTTGAGAGCTTTTTCCTTTCTTTTCTCTTGAAGATGGCCGGCCAAGAAGCTTGAAATGGAGGGTAATTTTGGGTCAATTTTTGTTTAATTGATAAAGTGGTGAATAGTGGTCAAAACCCAAGAACCAACCACTTCGCGACACCTAGCACCTTTTTAATTCAAAGCTATCCTTTTGTCTCTCTATCCTTAATCCAACTAAGCAACCTCTACTTATCTTCCAACACCTAGTAAATTAATTCCTGTATACAAAACTTAACCTAATTGGTCGAATTTTATCGAACTTACCGCACTAGTGGGTCCCACATCCAGTATACACTCTTAAAATCTTATAAACTAACTTATACTAGAAAAAATGATTTCAAAACCATCTTTACTCATAAAAATTATTTTCACAATTTTTCGAATAAATAAAATATGAAAAACCGTGCAATTCAAAGAAAATAAAACCTAGCAATTAAGAAAATTACGAGTTCTCACAAAGCTCGTTAGCGAGTTCGAGTATATATATATATATATATATATATATATATATATATATATATATATATATATATATATATATAAGTATACATATATTTTTTTATATTTTTTATTTTAAGTATATATATATTTTTTATTTTTTATTTTAATAGTAAAATGACATATATATCCTTAATATTTTATTATTTATTAAGAGAAAAATATTATTTTATTTATTTTTAAAAAAATAAAAATAATTATTTTTTATTTTTTTCGATCTCGAGCTTGAAATTGTTGGCTCGTCGAGTTCGAGTTCGAGTTCACTAAAATTATGTCAAAACTCGGCTCGATTAGGCCAAAACTCGACTCGACTCGTCTCATTTGTAGCCCTAATGTTGGGACATCAAAGTTGAGGATAATCTTCTAACCTATGGTTGGAAAAAAAATGCTATGATAGCATGTTATTAGTCCAGACTATATTCTCACAATTATGAACGAATATCGAATACACATATTCGATGTCAAAATTGTAAAAGTTTCTGCAATATAAAATAATAATTATAAAAATTACACTTTCACAATTCAATATTATTCTCATATTCTGCTACTTCAACACATATATGCTATATTCTTATTAGAGGTGTCAAAATGGGTGACTTAAACGGGTTTGGATTAGTTAAAATGGGTAATAGATATAAGTGAGTCAAACTATTTATACTCATTTAATTATATGGGTATAAATGGGTAAGTCAATAAATGAATTGGGTAACCAAATTATCCATTTATAACCCATTTATTTTAACTTTTTGTAAACTCATTTCAATTTATTTTTACAAATTAAGTTATCAATTTATACCACCCTTTGCATCCATCATTAGTTTTAAATATTTACTTATAATACTCAATAAGTCTAATTATCAATTTTTTTCATCCATACTCTATGTTGCAAAATTATATACTATTTAATAATTGAACAATAAAAATATAAAAATTTAGACAAAGTACTATAAAAGTTAACATAAAAACTTAATTCAAAAATTTTGAACCCCTAACATTTTTTGTGTGTAAATTTAAAATTTCTTTTTTAAAAGGTAAGAAAAGAGGTTAAAACTTGTCATAAATTAGTAATGTTGAAAAATGAGCAAGTTAACAAACTAATAGAAAATAAAATGATAAGATAAAATCGACAAATAATAATAATAATAAAATAAAAGTAATTAATATCATGACAAAATGAAAAATTTGAAAAAATAGGTATGGGGAAAGAGAGGAAGTTTGGAGGAAGACAATTCTAAAGGGGTTGATTGGATTTGATGGGTTATCCAATAATACCCATATGCAAAAATTTAAGATATTCATACCCATCTATTCATGGGCAAGTATGAGTAAATTTTTAGATAAGTGGGTTTATTTGCGCACCTATAATTTTTATTCAACATTAAACTACATTTTATACAATAACCTACCGACAATTCTTTCCAATTATCCTCATTTAATAAAAAATAATAGCTCACAATTATTTACATATTATAAAATTATTTCCTACATCAATACTTACAAAACAAACTTTACAAAATATAACTAGACAAACACATTATTAACACGGGTTACGTACACGCACCCTGTGCATAGCGCAGGCCCCATACTAGTAAAAGATAAAATTGACGGAGGGAAAACTTTTATAGCTATACACATTTTAAGTGCCATCAATTCTTTCAAAATCAAAAATTTATGAAAAGAAATTGTAAGCCATCTTATCCTTTTCAATTTTTTGGAAATACTTAAATGTCTAGAAAATAATGTTAGTAACTAAAGTGATTGTATCAGTATAATCTAAACGAATAACGTGATAATAATAATGTAGTAATGCTATAAAATAAAAGGGTATTTTTGTTTAAAATTTCTTAATATATTGAGTTGAATTAGTTATGGGGGTAAAGTGATTAAAAAATAACGTTAAAGGATAAACTGATAATAGTGATATAGTTTAAGGGAGTAAAGTGATAATAACCCTTGAAATAAATTAACTATAAAACTAGTTAATTTCTCTCCCTCTCCTTAACCAGAGCGGGGAAGCTTTTGACGTTTTATAACAAACAAGAGGGGAGGTCCCTACATTTTTTAAATTAAGAGGAGAGGCCCTTCACTTTTCCTAAAACTACAGGGGTGGTTAGCGTAATTTAGCCTTCTTCTTTTACTTGGTCAAAACGGCGTATCCTTCCTGGACCATCTTTCATACCTCAAAAAATAAAAATAAAAGAAAGAAAAATGTACGGCAAAATCAAAACCTTCATTCTTAAGCAAAAACCACAGAAAGAGATACCCTGTCCTGCGGTATTCCTAAATAATCAATAGCATTAATAAATCTTGACATTATCGCCATAATCTCTTTTTCCAGCTATAAAAGAAGATATTTTCTCATATAAAAACACCCAAAAGTGATGAAGAAAAGCCATATCTTCTTATTCTCAACAGTTTCATTAACCTTTCTTCTGGTATTCCTGAGCTTTCCCTCAATTTCAATGGCTGATTCAGAAATCCCATCATCATCTGAGGCCAAGGTCCACATAGTTTATACCGAGAGACCCCAAGATCAAGAACCTGAGGATTACCATATCAAGACTCTTTCCTCTGTTCTTGGCAGGTCCAGTTTTTTTTTTCCCCCTCTTCAAAAGTTATCTCTTTGTTTTATGTTTTGTTTTTAATGGAATTCTAGCATGGAAATTATGCTTGTGTTTTTCTTTTTGTTTATTTTTGCATTGTGGTACATGGGTTTGATTATCTTATGCTGATTCATGTGAAAATTTTGGAAAACCTGAAAATAAATTAAAAATAAAATCAGTGAGGAGGCTGCAAAGAAGGCTTTGGTGTACAGTTATAAACATGCTGCCAGTGGGTTCTCTGCTAAGCTGACTCCTGGACAGGTTGCTGAGCTCTCAAGTAAGTTTTTGGTGTTTTTCTTGATTTGATTAGTAATATACGTATATTTTGTGCTGCTTTTCTTACATGGTTGTTATCATGATGATCGCGGTTATATTTAATATTGTTGTTAAATCTTACAATTTTTTTGGGAGGGGATTGGGGTTGGGGGAGAGTTTGTATTGTAAAAACCATTTTAAATGGACATATATGCATCAGGATTAAAGGAATTTTAACAAATTATTATGGATGATGTTTGTTGAATTATGTTGAATTATGGGTTGATTGCCTTTTTGAAATGGTCAATCTAAGTTATGATTTATGGAAGCATTTCATTTAGTGGATGTTATGGATTCTAAATATTGATCTGAGACTTGGCAAGGAAGAATGCTTTGACAAATAGTGCTTGATTACGCTCTTTAACTAGACAGGTTTTGAATTGTTGATCACACAAGGAAGTTATGAATCTATGGTGTTTATTTTCAGTATAAATTAAAACTCTTTGTGTTATGAGATTTGTGTCCCACACAGTAGGATGTATCTGGTTTTTTGGAATCCATGCTATTCAGCAAGATTTTGATTACCTCTAGCTTCCTCCACTGCTCAATCTTAGTTATATGAACCAAATGTGAAAAAGTTCTCTCAGATACTTTCACTCTTCTTGGAAAATTTGTTCAAATTCAGATTTCTGCTTAGGATTGTGGCGTTGTCTCTGTCCTTCATAAGTATTTTTGTTGATGAGAAATATGGGCGTTCAATTGGCCTCTGTTTAATATGAGCAGAAACCTAAGGTAATGAAATAGTGTCACAGTTCTGTATTGTAGATACCATAAGAACTACTAATAGCTGAATTTTTTTGATCAGGCAAATACTCAAATTGACTTTTCTAAAGCAAAATATCTGCATGATGAGAAGTTACAATAATTAATATTAAGTTTGAGTTTTGGAATTTGGTACATGTTTTCCATGTCATGATATGCTTGTACCATTTTTCTTTATCAAATAGCATCAGGGACACTAAATGAAGAGATCTTTACAACAATGCTTTATTTATTGGTGCTTTT